TGGGCTCTGCAGAGATGGGACCGAAGGCCAGACCCGTCAGTCCCGATAACATCTTCAGGATTGGTATGCTTCGAGCACTATTTTGCGCGAGTGAGGACTCTGCTTACTAACTTGGATGGTTCTGGTGCAATGTAGGATCGATATCGAAGGTGTTTCCTGATCTGATGCTTCTCCAGCTCCGTGACCGTGGCGTCCTTGATCTCGATGAAGAGGTCCTCTTTCGTCTTGAAGGCCAGGAGTCGTTTTCCTGATAACTAACCCTATAACTGTGGTGGGTGATCATTGTAGATCGGCAAGAAGTTCCCTCAGTGGAAGTCCGCCATCCAGAACGTCTTTCCTACGAAGCGGGGCATAACTTGGCGTCAGTTGGGATCCCATATGGCCGGCCTCCCACGCTCCTCGTAAGTCATCACACTCTCAAGATTTTTTCGTCGCAACGATGAACTCAGACTCCTCTCACGCAGGCCGTGTGGCGGGTTATGGGGAGACTGCAACGTCACCACTGATGAGATACTGAGACGCATCAACTCGCAGAAAACCATTCAACCCATCGGTACGTTGGAGGGTGGCTCCACTCAGACCAGCTTCAACATTGTTCTCACTCATCATTTCATTCCAAAGACACTAGACCATCGTACAGCAATTTTGGGTTCGCCCTGCTTGGCCGTCTCCTTGAGGAGCTTGTTGGCGAAAGCTTTGAATCGTACGTCGAGAAGAACATTCTCCAATCGTTGAACATGACCAACACCGGATTCACGGTACGCCTCACAAACTTGTCCCACAACGTTGACCGAAGTGATCAAATTAATCGGGTGTGGCCATCAGTTTACACCCGAGGTAAAAAGCAAGATGGCTGTGGGCTACTTCGATGGAACAGACCAACCTGCGCCTCTTTATGATCTGGGATGGGAAGCTCCCGCAGGCCAGATGTACGCACCATCACTTGAAAGGGAAGCTTCAGGGATGCAAGAGATCTCATGCTTTACATGTGCGCGTGTTAGGTATTCCACGGTGGAGGATCTGTGCCACTTGATGTCCCTCATCTTCAGGGAC